TGACGGACGCGTCAGCGCCCGTCACTCACCAAAACGTGACGGTTGCGTGCGTAAACTCAAAAGCTTTAAAATGATGTATCACGTGCCATTGAAACCTATATTGTTTTTGCTCGAGACGTCGAAAAAAAAATTCCTTTTTTATTTATTAGGCCCGAGCCCCGAACGGGGTAAGGGCCTATTGCTTTCACAATGGTGAAAACAAATGGTGGCGGTGCGTGACGGACGCGTCAGCGCCCGACACTCACCAAAATGTGACAGTTGCGTGCGTAAACTCAAACGCTTTAAAATGATGAATCACGTGCCATTGAAACCTATATTGTTTTTGCTCGAGACAAGTCACAAAAAATTCCTTTTTTATTTATTTATTTATTTATTAGGCCCGAGCCCCGAACGGGGTAAGGGCCTATTGCTTTCACAATGGTGAAAACAAATGGTGGCGGTGCGTGACGGACGCGTCAGCGCCCGTCACTCGCCAAAACGTGACGGTTGCGTGCGTAAACTCAAAAGCTTTAAAATGATGTATCACGTGCCATTGAAACCTATATTGTTTTTGCTCGAGACGTCGAAAAAAAAATTCCTTTTTTATTTATTTATTAGGCCCGAGCCCCGAACGGGGTAAGGGCCTATTGCTTTCACAATGGTGAAAACAAATGGTGGCGGTGCGTGACGGACGCGTCAGCGCCCGTCACTCACCAAAACATGACAGTTGCGTGCGTAAACTCAAAAGCTTTAAAATGATGAATCACATGCCATTGAAACCTATATTGTTTTTGCTCGAGACAAGTCACAAAAAATTCCTTTTTTATTTATTTATTTATTAGGCCCGAGCCCCGAACGGGGTAAGGGCCTATTGCTTTCACAATGGTGAAAACAAATGGTGGCGGTGCGTGACGGACGCGTCAGCGCCCGTCACTCGCCAAAACGTGACGGTTGCGTGCGTAAACTCAAAAGCTTTAAAATGATGTATCACGTGCCATTGAAACCTATATTGTTTTTGCTCGAGACGTCGAAAAAAAAATTCCTTTTTTATTTATTAGGCCCGAGCCCCGAACGGGGTAAGGGCCTATTGCTTTCACAATGGTGAAAACAAATGGTGGCGGTGCGTGACGGACGCGTCAGCGCCCGTCACTCGCCAAAACGTGACGGTTGCGTGCGTAAACTCAAAAGCTTTAAAATGATGTATCACGTGCCATTGAAACCTATATTGTTTTTGCTCGAGACGTCGAAAAAAAAATTCCTTTTTTATTTATTTATTAGGCCCGAGCCCCGAACGGGGTAAGGGCCTATTGCTTTCACAATGGTGAAAACAAATGGTGGCGGTGCGTGACGGACGCGTCAGCGCCCGTCACTCACCAAAACGTGACGGTTGCGTGCGTAAACTCAAAAGCTTTAAAATGATGAATCACATGCCATTGAAACCTATATTGTTTTTGCTCGAGACAAGTCACAAAAAATTCCTTTTTTATTTATTTATTAGGCCCGAGCCCCGAACGGGGTAAGGGCCTATTGCTTTCACAATGGTGAAAACAAATGGTGGCGGTGCGTGACGGACGCGTCAGCGCCCGTCACTCACCAAAACGTGACAGTTGCGTGCGTAAACTCAAAAGCTTTAAAATGATGAATCACATGCCATTGAAACCTATATTGTTTTTGCTCGAGACAAGTCACAAAAAATTCCTTTTTTATTTATTTATTTATTTCTTTCTTTCTTTCTTTCTTTTTTCTTCTGCACTTTGAGCCTTAATTTGACCCCCTGAATATGCATGAAAAGTTGTTAATTTTGGCCCAAAAATCAGACCTGGCGAAAAATTTCATATTTTGGTGTTTATTTTTATGGGACTCAAAAAATGACAGAACAGCGCCACCTACAACAGCCAAAATAATACCCCTATGGGACTTTTCGGAGGTCAAGTTTGTCGTAGAAACATGAGATTTGGTACACATGTTCCTCAAGTCAAGACAAGAAAAAAATATTATTATGGCCCCGCCCTCTGACAAACAGGAAGCCCATAAATTTCACTGCAAAATGGAAAAATGAACAGCAAAAGTTTTCATACATGTCGGTTGGAAAGCGACTCCTCCTCGGCCGTTTCACCGATTCACCTCAAAATCGCTCCACATCGTCTCAACACATGTACCTTCAAAATGACCTCAGGGATTTTTGATCAGTGAAAGATTGTTTGAGCAGCGGAGCGGCAAAATGTGACATTTTTTTGGCCGTTTTTGACAACATTAAATTTGCTCCCGTTTGCACAAACAAAGTCTGATTTGCACAAAACTTTAATACATTGTTCAACTCTAGGGTCTAGGTCGTTTGAAGGTGAATTAATTCAAATTGACACATTAGCGCCCCCTACAGACTATTTCAAAATTTTAGATGGGCATTTTCAAATTTAGTTTTTTCAAAATGTTTGAAATTTTACACATAAATCTGTTTTGCCCTCTTGATTCAAAAAGTCAATTGGGTCCAAGGCTTATTTTTTACCCTGTTGCCGTGGCGACGAGAAACGCTCCCCATTCATTGCAAATGTACACCTCACACAAACATCAAACCAGCCTCGGCCGTTTCACCGATATGCCTCAAAATCGCTCCACATCATCTCAACACATGTACCTTCAAAATGACTTCAGGGAATTTTGATCCGTGCAACGTTGTTTGAGCAGCGGAGCGGCAAAATGTGAGGATTTTTTTGGCTCTTTTTGACAACATTAATTTTGCTCCTGTTTGCACAAACAAAGTCTGATTTGCACAAAACTTTAATCCATTGTTCAATTCCAGGGTTTAGGTCAGGTTAAAGTGAAATATTGGAAATTGGCCCATTAGCGCCCCCTACAGACTGTGTCAAAGTTTACATGGGGAGCCAAACCAGCTCTACTTATCATATTCATTACAATTTGACTAACATTCTTCTATGGCTACGGAAACAAATCATCACACGGCGGTGCCACCTCCTTTTAGCGGTGCTGCGGCGTAGTGCGGGGCGTTGTGGAGCGGCGCGTTGGGGCTTGGTGCGGGACGGCGTGGTGCGGGACGGCATGGTGCAGGGCGGCTTGGTGCGGGGCGGCATGGTGCGGGGAGTGCGCGCGGTGCAGGGAGTCGCGCGGTGCGGCGAGGGCCGTTCGACGCCGCTTGCGGCTTTAATTAGGCCCGAGCCCCGAACGGGGTAAGGGCCTATTGCTTTCACAATGGTGAAAACAAATGGTGGCGGTGCGTGACGGACGCGTCAGCGCCCGTCACTCACCAAAACGTGACGGTTGCGTGCGTAAACTCAAAAGCTTTAAAATGATGTATCACATGCCATTGAAACCTATATTGTTTTTGCTCGAGACGTTAAAAAAAAAATTCCTTTTTTATTTATTTATTTCTTTCTTTCTTTCTTTCTTTTTTCTTCTGCACTTTGAGCCTTAATTTGACCCCCTGAACATGCATGAAAAGTTGTTAATTTTGGCCCAAAAATCAGACCTGGCGAAAAATTTGATATTTTGGTGTTTATTTTTATGGGACTCAAAAAATGACAGAACAGCGCCACCTACAACAGCCAAAATAATACCCCTATGGGACTTTTCGGAGGTCAAGTTTGTCGTAGAGCCATGAAATTTGGTACACATGTTCCTCAAGTCAAGACAAGAAAAAAATATTATTATGGCCCCGCCCCCTGACAAACAGGAAGCCCATAAATGTCACTGCAAAATGGAAAAATGAACAGCAAAAGTTTTCATACATGACGGTTGGAAAGCGACTCCTCCTCGGCCGTTTCACCGATTCGCCTCAAAATCGCTCCACATCATCTCAACACATGTACCTTCAAAATGACCTCAGGGATTTTTGATCAGTGAAACATTGTTCGAGCAGCGGAGCGGCAAAATGTGACCTTTTTTTGGCCGTTTTTGACAACATTAAATTTGCTCCCGTTCGCACAAACAAAGTCTGATTTGCACAAAACTTTAATACATTGTTCAACTCTAGGGTCTAGGTCGTTTGAAAGTGAATTAATTCAAATTGACCCATTAGCGCCCCCTACAGACTATTTCAAAGTTTTAGATTGGGCATTTTCAAATTTAGTTTTTTCAAAATGTTTGAAATTTTGCACATAAATCTGTTTTGCCCTCTTGATTCAAAAAGTCAATAGAGTCCAAGGCCTATTTTTTACCCTGTTGCCGTGGCGACGACAAACGCTCCCCATTCATTGCAAATGTACACCTCACACAAACATCAAACCAGCCTCGGCTGTTTCACCGATTCGCCTCAAA